ACACTCACTTTACGACTAATATCGGAGATCATTATTGGCGATATTTCAGATATTAAGAGCAAACTTTATGAGCCGCCTTCGCGAACGAAACTTGCGACACATTTGCATTTTAACAAGCGCGTGGGAAGAAGGATTCGTGAAAAAAGTCTGCTACACGATGTTGATATCGCGCCACTGTAATCTGAAATGGATATTTCGATATTATAAACGATGATACTTTGGGCATATATATTTTTTGTCTTAAGTGTCTCGTAAAGAGGAATTAGATATGCCTATCGCGTGTATATAAATAACAGTATCTCGTAAAATTTATATTCTCCGAAAGTTGCATGCATAGTAGCACAAAATGCTCCAAGTACAATTTTTTTCTCATATCTATTCTTATTTCGCGCAAATGCTTCCTTTATATTCCGAAGAAATCTGAATCTAAGCATGTGTATTAAAAGATTATTTGCACAAATAATCGTTACTGCGAAAGATCAATATCCTTCTTTCAGTATCGACACTCGCATAGAAAGCTTTGTTTACTCATACTCCTTAAAGTTTGAAACTCGAAGTGTTTTACGATCTGAGAACTGCGAGGCGCATTGCATCTTGCATCTCTCTAAAGTCTCCTCACTAATCGATAGAAACTCGCATTCAAGTTTCCGTATAACTAATTGCCCATCGAATTGCAATGAATCAGCGATTTTGGCTTTAATACGCGGCACAGCTGCGATCTTGCACGATATTATTGTTTATGTGGCCACCAAAACTTGACTTAGATTGATTAACGGGAAGGCTAATTGATGAGAATTTCAATCGTGCCGACCAATGGAACAATGCGAGCTTCGATCTGTGGCAAGCTATTCTCACCGTGGAATCATGCACTTGTAATTGACACGAAAATTCAGGACGGGAATTTAAGACTTAATTAATTGATAAGACGACGAATACAAATGAGTGTGAGTATTTTCTGATAAGGCGGAATATATCCCCCGAGCAAAAAATATTGTGAATAATTACGGGGAATCTTGGTAAATAAAAATATAGTTGGTCATATGTTTATTGTAAATTCTCAGAAATACAAGAAAAGGAAAAAACCAATACGAATCAAATGCTATTGCGATGAAAAAGAAATCCATAAAGGTATCAAAGATGCCGTTATTTCACGCAAAGGAATTTTTTGATCGGGTATTCAATTTCTCGAGTTGTCTCAGGAAGCAAATCGCGAAATAATATCATATCTTTGCAAATAATATGTATATGTCTCAAATACATTTCAAAATGTACAGAAATATATCATCGTAAGGTAGAAAGAAATAAAGATTGACGTGTCGCAGATTTACATCGGGAATTCTGCCAGACTCTCGATATGAGGCGAAATGGAAGCAGATGATATCGGTGAAAAGTAACATTATATGCGAAGAGTGATTTAATACACGTTCTACACACACACATAAAATACTCTTTCATAAAACAATATATCACAGTTTTCTCGTGTGGAAAAATTCCGTAAGATACTATAAAATCCGAAATCGCGCGTTCGTCTGCGATGTTTCGAACGTCACGATAAATCTATAAAATATCAGAGAACGCATAAAATCGCGTAGCCACGACAGGGGAATCGTACTATTTCCAGAAACTCACGAAAAATTGATCAAAATGTCTTAATAAAACGAAAAATAATGCATGAAATAAAGCGCAGAAAATTTGACAAATTTATTTAAATCAAACACATAACATCAAAACGTCTCGGAAATCTTACTTTAAGTCGTTGATCTTTTTATGTTATTTTGCTCATGATCAATGGTTTATTCAAGATGTAACAATAATAAAAATCAATCTATTAATTATAGATTTTAGCGATTTTTTCGAAGATTCTTTACACCAAAAATTAAAAAAATAATATAGATGATTAAATTTGATGTTCTCGAAATTTATTAAAGATAATTGTGTTTTATATTTATCCCTTACTGCTCTTCTCTATTCATATTCATATGGTTTACAAAATTTTTTTTACTTAATTTTACCTTTCTTTTTTATAAAGGAAAAGTCCTTAATCAACGCGAAAAAAGCAATACGAAACATCTTATTTGTATGCATGAACATATTTTCCAGATACAACATATTACATATCTTGCAAATGCGATATTCTCGAGAGGGAGAGGTAGGGAGAGAGGCATAAGAAGCTGGACGTAAGAAGAAAGTCATATAGAGGGTTGAGCTAAAAAAAAAGTTGCAATATTTTCCAATATGATCGAAACGGTGCATTACTCGAGTCCTCTTTTAGCAGAGACGATCTTCACTCGCACGACTTCGCTTTCCGTCCGCCATCGCGATATCACGATGATGATCTTACGAATTATCTTTACGAAGCAAGGGTGGAATAAGATCGAACGGTCAAAGACACACAGGGATCGGTTATCGGCGCGAATCTATCGATGGGTAAACAACGCGATGGAAATATGTTAGTATGTACATCAAAGTATTGTATGTACAGGCGACGAGAAAGTATCGTCGTCCTCAATACTGTTGGCCGAGGGCGTAATTGAGTTTTCTCTCAGACTCTGCGATGCGGCTCTTTTCCTTCCTCTTTTCCTTTTTCTCTCTTTCTTACAAATATATCGTCGTTCTTGCCCATTTTCGGGACGTTGTCAGGAAATCAAGAAAGCAATAGAGAAAAGAAGGAATTATAGTGTCAAAAAAATATGTTCTACATATAATCAAAAAACAGAAGTGATTGAAAGTTAGATTTAGCTTCAAAGGATGATGATAAAGAGGAGATAAGTAAAAGTTTTTTCCACCACATAAATCCAACGATATTCTCGACAGTCATCGAGCCATCATCGAGCAGCTTACTTTTCCTTTCGCGCAAATTGCTTTGAATACTTCCCATCAATTAGAATAATCATGCCTCGTGAAAGCTTCTTTGACGACTAAAGAGGATTTGACACAACGGCGACGACGATTGAGTTGGTATAAATATCCTGCTTTCATCCTGAACGCTTGAAAGGCATGCAGCTCGGCCTATCGAAAGAAATTATTGTATTACTCGCGATACAATGAAAATCGTACTTATTTTAGAAATTAAGGCTTATAAGAAATTTCGAATAGTTCTGGTTAATATAATTAGATGGTTATTTTTTTCAGAAATATATTGTGCACGTTGATACAATTTAGAATTTCCAAAGTCTCACGCAACTATTTCTGGTAAATTTAGAAATTTGAAAAAACAGTTTTTTTGGATATTCCATGACACTATTATTTTATTAATAAAAGATATTATTTATTTCAGATTGTTTTTATGGTCCTTCCACTAAAGAATATGCCAAAATGACATGAGTTGTCTTAAGTTTATCGTTAAATAATTGATTATTAAGGACTCTACGTGTCTGTTATTGTTTATGCGCGTGTGCCATCTTAGGCTACGTGCCTCGTAAATAATCGATTGTCACACGAATTATTTATAAAGACATTTTTATATGAAACTCACGTAACATTTCGCACTATTTTTGGAAAGACCGTAAAAATTCTAAGAGTTCTCTGAAGAACCATTTGTATGACTGAAAGCATTTCGCATTATTCTTTTACGAAGTGGAGCGAGTGAATATGCTCTCTTTTATAGAGAAAATTTACTTGAGACTATTTAAAATGAGGAAGTTATCTTTATACATCACTTACTGAAAATTATATTCTCTCTAATTGTAAGAATAATTAATACAACACTAAAAATATTTTTTGTTCGAGAAGTTTAATATTAAAAAATATTATTTTTAACGCACATATTTCATTAGTATTATATATATTGAAGAATTTCGATCGTCTTGAAGATCAATCATCTGAAAATTAGAGAAAGTAATTACACCAGAAAATTACATTGTACAATTTATATAATTTGTCTATAATTAGCATAATTTTCAATTTATTTTAACCGCTTCTGCAATTATTTTCCTCTGACACTAAATTAGGCAATGAGACTTAGTTTCCCGTTACAAAATTAACATGCGCTTTCTATTTCTATAGCGTCATACCAAAGTTGCGCCGTTGTATAGTAACTGACGTAAACTCCCTTGTAGTCATCTAATTATATCTTACGTATTTCGTCGTTGACAAGAAAGAGACAGAGAGAAATAACAAGTGAGAAGAATCCCTTCATAGCAGGAGTAAGTTATCGCGAAGGGAAAAAAGGGAGCACAACAAAGAGCACAACAAATAAATCGCGATAACGAACGGCCTCGTCGACGTACTGGAAGGGATCGATTCCGCGCATAAATCGATTGTCCGGTGACCCACTTCGTCAAGGTTTTACCCGGGATTTATCTCGCAGGAAGTCGGCCTCCTGTGTGTTTTCGCGCCGCCGCGCCGCGGGTTTGTTAATACCTAGGACCAGACATCCTATACTAATGTGTCACGCTCTCTCTTACGAGAGCTCCTCTCAGACAGTTATGCGCGCATCTCGTGCATACCGATGCATTTGATTGCGGCCACAAATCTATTTTATTGTAGGCCGTTTGCGCGCTCTCGCAAACGGCCTCCACGTATCGTATTGTTAGCACTCCCAATCCCGAAACGTTCAACTTGATTGCTGAGCGAATAATTGAGAAAATAAAGGGAGAGAGAAATATGGTATTAATGTGTGAGATCACTTGTGCAATGATAAAAAAAAGATTTGTACAAGTTTATGATTCTGTGTAAATAAAAAAAAAAATTGCGATTATGTCAAATGATATAATTTTGAAGAGAGAAAAATGTTTGTCTTTCTCTCTTTTTCTTTTTAGTTAAATTTTAACATAACTCTTGCTCATATCAGCGGGATTTGCCGTTTCGCTAATTAGACAAGTATATCGCAAGAAAAACGTCCGTGGTTTTTGAAGAAATGTGAAAAGGGCTTTGAATAATATTAGTTCTTTAGAATCAAATATAAAATTATAGCACACATTTTTTATTTAGTTAGAGAAAGAGAGTTCATTATTAATATACTTTCTTCTGATGAAGCAAACGACTCTTTATTGTTACAGGTGCGCTCGAGATCGCTGACCCAGCTGGATGCTCTCAGCAGCAGTATGTTGGACACGGGGGAACATCATCTGGAGAGTGATTCCTCGCAGCAGCAACCCCATCATCTGCACCACCATCAACAACCCCATCAGCTGCAACATCACCCCCTCAGTATCGAGTGCAATCGGATTCGATTTCTCGCGCCAGGCGCAGCATCCGTCGAGATTGTGCACCCCAATCGTACCAAGCACAAACTTTCGCGATCTCAGGTAAAGTAAAAGTTTCCACACTATTACAATTTGATACAAGCGTTTTCTCGGCATAGTTAAAGGTGCGATTATAGTCGATGTAATTTCACTGTGGTAATTTTCCAGCAAGACATTAAAAGTTCTTTTTTCCCGCATTCTTACTTTCTTCTATTAAAATTGATTTCAAATTTTGATGAATATTGTGGAGGTTTTAATAATTTGTAGCGTGAAACATGCATATATTTCTCATTATTACCTCTCTTGTGTATTTATATCCCTTGACGCATATTATTACTAGCATATTATATTTTATTGAAAGGAAAAAGCTTTAATTTTATTCTTCGCATCGAGCGTGAAATGAGATTTTCCATTGAAATCTATATATATATATAATTTCATATAATTTCACAGGAATGTCTAAAATATTATATTAAGCATCTTTTTCAGTCTCTCTTTCTCTCTCTCTTTCTCTCTCTCTCTCTCTTTTAGTAATTAACTTTGTTTCTGAAATATGTGTTAAGTTTGTCAAAGTTTGTTTCAAGTTATCTAGAAAATTAAAATTTTTCTTATTTTTTACATTCTTGAAATTTTTAATTTACCTTATTTTTTAAATCTTTTGTAGTTAAAATCATCAATCTCTATTACAAAAAGAGAAAAATAATGTTTCAAGATTTACTTTGCGTGCAATACGAAATATTCGCGCAACATTTGTTCGGGAAAGAAAAAAAGAGAGGGAGAGCTGATGATACATTCAGCATGGAAACAAAGGGATCGCATGTACGAAAAGTTCGATATAACGAGTGTGGAAATTCCCTCTTTATTTGCGGGATTCCGCTATATCCCAATGCGACGAGCGGCCGAGAATAAAATAAAACGCGACGTGAAACTCTCACATCTTTGTGTCGCCTTCATCCGAGCTAACACAATCTCTAAGAGAAATATAAATGTCCCCGCATCTTTCATATGCCTCCTGCGGGACCGACCATAGAGAGATATATATTTCACTGCTCGAGTACGAGTGTCAAACCGATCGTAAAAAATGCGCGATGAGTGGCCAGAAATATCAGACTTACGGAAGGATATTTTTATCCCGATAATATGTATGTACTCGACGTTTCCATTTCCAGTGCCAGTTTCGAGCGTGATAATCGTAACGCGATAATTACAAATGGACATTTATACATTAAAATGTGCTACAACGTAAACAAATTAATAATTAGAGAACTATTATGTTACTCTTTTTATTTCTTTGCTATTTTTTACAATGCCATTTTGCAAAAATTGCCGAGACAACCGAGTTACTCCGAAATCCAAGTAAGATTCGAGGAGCTAAAAAGGGGGGCTCTCTACCAATGAAATGGCATCGATACAACAGGAAAAGCCGACCCTTTATGTTATTGAAATACTTTCGGCTGCTTGGGAATTTTGCGATCTCTACGAAGTGGCCCGGACATTATCCGAACTGTGATTCCATATCCCAAATGGAAATTCTATGTCACTCCCTGAATTCGCAATGAAGCCAGATTGAACGGCGTGACGCGATATAATAATCTGCAGTTAACGATCTTTTAATGAACCATCAATATTTATGCATTTAAATGCATATTTAAATAATATAAATAAGGATAAACAATATGCTAATAATAAAGATAAATTAGATTAACGGATTGAGAAGAGCTAAGGAAAGCGCCGGTGTATAATGCGCGCAATTATTTTGCGCCCCGCGTTGGTGAAACTAATTTCTTTCTTAGCTCGACGTTAAAGAAAGATGTAGAAAACGTTTACCGTAATTTCCAGGAATTTATAAAAACCGTATCTATGTTGCGGATCAGCAGCATAAATTTATTTCTCTTGGGAGAAGCTATTATAGTGATTAACATATTTTTTTCGTCTATTGGCAAGTCGATCTCGATAAATAAGTAGACAATAGACGATGCAAATGAGAGCGTTAACGTCTTTATCAGCGAGATATTTAAGAAATTCTTTAAATAATTTTTTTTTATGTTTTTTTAAATATTGTACACTTTATTATACGTATAATTATATACGTATGATAAATAATAAATTATTGAGAATTTAATATGCATTTTTGAAAAAGATCATTTCTTTAAGGGAGATAAAAAATGGAGTAAATAACGTTCTATAAATATGCTATGAAATATTTATAGTATATTTTTTTATGAAATATAAAAATTTGATATCCCTTTTAAAATATTTTTTTATAAAAACCGATTGCTATGTATATAAATAAAATTTTTTGCAGTATTTGCATTTTAAAATAATGATTTTATAAACATTGTTCTTTTCGAGTAAAGTTTATATTTGACTCCACAATTAGAGAGAGAGAGAGAGAGAGAGAGAGAAGATTCCAAGAATAATAAATATATTTTTAGTTTTTGCTTTTCTGTGTGATGGTTGCAAGTCGAATTACAAGACACTATAGTACACAAGACAAGATAATCATACTAACTTTAATTGCAATTGGGAATTGTTTCACGTCGCGGAACATTGTTGGTTTCTGACATTTCATTACATCAGCCAGCCTGTTGTTGTCATTTCCTTGTGGCATGCTCTACGCTATGTATACGCGACATAAATGTCACCAAGTAATTCCGTAAAATTAATTTGTCAATTAGCATAATCCCATGACCATGCGCGCGACAATCACGCGAAGGCAATGAAATTACATTCAAAACAAAAGAACAAAGCTTCTATTCAATGCCGCGCTATATAATCGCTCGCGTCATCATGAAATTTTAGCTGCCATTTTATTTCACCCTTTCGCGCGTATCCGTCTTATCTCTTCTCTCCTCTGCAAGAAATACAGTCTTCTTGAACGATGCAAGAAACGCTTTATCTCGTTGAAGCGTTAATTAATTTGTGCTGGTAATATTTTAAACTTTCTCTTTCTCTTTTTTTTTTCTCTCTCCAAGATAAGTTTCATCGATCCTTTTTTAATTTCAGAGTGACTTTCAGAATTATTTCTTACTTTACTTTATTCTTCCTCACTCTAATTGTAAGATTACATAAGAATGTCAGATATTGAGAGAGAAAATAAGAAAAAATAAAACATATTTTAGGAAGAGAAAGAGAAGCTGATTTTCTATTGCATTTTTGAGAGGTAATTATTATATTTAATTCGTTTCATTTTTTCTTTTCTTTAATGAAAAGTATTTCTTAAAGGAGCAAATAATTAATGTTTATATAAATATCTCTGGTTAATTATAATAAAAATCTTTTTGTTCTTCTCTCGCGCGCGTTTTGATTTATTATTTCGCATATCATTTCCACGTACAAAATATTTTGTCTACATCATTCGATAATTGTTCTCCCCGGATGATATTTGGATGTATATATGCATTTCACCGTTTGATTTACCTCGCGCTCGTGGGACGCGAATAACGAGCTCGCGAATAACGGACGTTGAATCGCTAAGCGATCAATCGCTATCGAACACCCGATATTCACTGGGTCGTTCTTTGCGTGGAGGGGATGAGTTCCTTTGTGTAATCCCCTCGGCACAAACGAGTAGCCGGGATACGAAACCTACAGATATCCGGCAAAGCAGTGAGAAAACAGGACGAAACATGGAATTGCTATTAGCCGGACCCATTTTCATAAAACTGCAAGAATTGTAATAAACGGGCTTGGTTTTACACGGTTGGTGGGGAATATGTGCTACTGTGAAATACTAGACGAAATCATAATGTCACGTAATTCGGAACAATTTTAGTCTGTTATTACGCACAATAAAATAAAATAAATATAAGTTAATTCAATGCATTTTAATAGATGTGCACAATTACATTACGTGATAAGTAATTGCATTTTAAAGCTCATTGTTATGCTAAAAATATTGTCGACTAGCGCATAATATGTAAAAATTTAAACGCTTGGCAAATATTAATCTATTCTTAAGCCACCATCTAATATTACAAATCTACATATATATTCCATGAAATTAAACTTTTAAAGAGATGGTATTCTTTTCCTCTCTCTCTCTCTCTCTTTCTCTCTCAGATGCGAGCGCGTCTCTGTATATTAATTATATAAATATTTAACATCAAACTGGCACATGAACAAAGCTTGATATCGAAATTACATCGAGTGAGCAAACGATAATTAAAACCGACGCAATTAAAAATGCATAAAAACCGTTATGGAATTTAGATTTAGTATAAATCGAATATTAATAACGGTTTGTAAACACTGCTATATTGGTCCATTGATATTTACGTGGTCGTTAATAATTATCGCGGAGAATGTTGAACACATTCGATAATTATCCACTATATTTTTGATCCCATTTAGATAATGAAATTACAATTTCGAGTATATGCAGAAATAGAGATGTATCGCATAATTCTCATAATTATACATAATATAAAATTTATTATATTATATTAAATTTAATGAAAATATTACGATAGTAATATGTTTACATGCAGAAAGCGAATCTTCATAACCATTTTTAATCCCTTTTTTTGTTATATATGTATATAGATCAATAATCGTGCAAGAGTTAACAAAATATATAATAGAATCTTTTATGTATATCTTACATTGTTTTATTTTTATTTATCATAAGCTTGGGTTTATAGGGCAATTATTTGTTGAAATTATATGGAAATTATTTCACATTTATCTATCGTATTATCCTGTCAATCTCTAATTATAATATAAATAATTCGTAAAAGAGAGGTACGTGTCGTAAATTATAGTACAAAGCAGTAGCGCGTTAATTTATACGAAAACCTTAAAGTTGGACGCGAGCACTTTGCGTTGCAAAATTACCCGGATTTATCGCACTCACGCCGTCAAGGTCACATCTTAATGGGCATAAAAATTTCAGCGAATTACAAGGGAGTGCGAAATTACTGCAATTTTCTTCCACAAGTGGTCGGCGGAGAGCCAAAAACGTAATGGCTCGCAAGAGGGCTTTTTTAAAGTTCTATCGAATGAAGTCGACGGTTCTCTTGTATCATTGTCGGTTTCGACAAACGCGCGCAAAATAAGATTTAGTTAATAGATTAGATTGCGGCAACGACCGAGCGAGAGCTTTTAACGACACGAACGAGTGGTAATTTGCAAAGTACACTCCGAGTTTTATTGGTATCCCCAGATGGTTTCAACATTCTCATAAAGCTTTCGGAAGAATTGAAAGGCCTCCGCATAAAAATTATTCATTTACATTGCCTTTACGTACGACTTTATTTATGAATAATATGACAATATGAAATATCAATTAGATAAATTTTCATTGATGAAAAATTAAAATTTTTGCACAGAGGCATACCTATAAATTAGTGAATTGTCAGAATTTACGTCAAATAGATCAAGGCTTATATTCTCAAATCCTTTCTTTTTACATAATTTATTTTTCTATGCAAATTAAATTCTATCATATACATCCTCTTCTTATTATAACAAATTTTGAAGATCTATTCTTCAGATTTAACATCGCGCTAATTTTTATTTAAATAAAAATTATACAATCTTTTGTTTACGATGTAAACAAAAGATCCATTGCTTATCTAAAAAACAAAAAGAGAACTTAAAATTGCAAATTGTTGCACAAATATATATAGAAAAGAATGAAGAAGTAATGAGAGGCTTATATCTATATATGTGTACTCTTCTAAAATGTAAGTGGTCGCGTAGGCGTTGATTTGGACTACTTGCAGCTACGCCTACGCATACCACCTATGACGTAAAAACGCAAACGGCGATTACTACGATAAAATGCGCATCTAATCAGCCATTATCAGATACGTAATCGCAAACTAAATACGAAAAATTTAACAGCTGATTTTCGATATTCTAAATTAATTCCCAGAAAAATTATTTATGGTATAATTACATTGACAGTCATAATATATGAGTGCAAATGAAATATTTTATATAATTTCTATCAATAATTATTTTAAACGGCCGAAATGTTTATATCTTTGCTATCAAAATAAAGCTCATTTCTTTTGGAAAAAAGAAAAATACATGTAAAACAACTCAAATTTTTAGTTTGTTTAACGATGTTGCATACTTTTAACCAAAGTCAAGACACATATTGCTAATTCCATTCGAGTCACGTAATAATATATGACGAAAATTGAGTTTGTCGAACTGTGCCCTTCTCACACAATTTAGCTTTTCCTCTTTTAACGTCTTTTATTCTTGGCGAAAACATATTGATAGTTCTCTCACGTGTAGATTATTAGATATTGCAATAAAAGCAAGATTCGTCGGAAACAAATTCTTGTGGAAAGACTTGCTCGCAAGCCATTTATTTATTTAGTTTGATTATATGAAATGTATTATTAAATTATGTAATTATATTGCAGAAAAAAAGTATAAAGAACAACGTAAATCATTAATTGATTAGAAAGAAAGAAGAAAATTGTTTTCGATTTAATTATATGTATCGCATACATACATATACACATAAAATCAAGTATTCATCATAACACAATCTGTTATCCTTTTACGACAAAATTTTCTATATCATTTTTTTATAAATGTGTAATGAATATAAATGTGGTATTAAAATCTCTACATATTTTATTTTATTTGTAATTTATTCTCTCTTTTTCTCTCTCTCGAGTATAATAAGATAATTTAAGAATAAAATTCTGCGAGTTAAGTCGGAGATAACAATTCACAGCGTCGGAGGCGGTGAAAAATCGCTATGAGGTAAATTGTTACGAAAGGAATGATAAACGATAATATTACAGTCTCTTCTCTTATAGGAAGCGCCGAAGGAATTTTCATTAAGCGTCCGCACGCACGTTAGTATCATTGTCACGAACTTCCCAAGTATTTATCCTTACTTTGGGAAGGTTGGTGAGTTACATATATATCTCCGAAAACTGCTGCCGTCGACCATTCCAAATTGATATTATACAAACGTGGAATATTACACTCGTCTCCGAAACTTTACAGATTGTATCCAAAATAAATTTTAATAATGATAATACACTTCAATTTGCGTGAATTGTATTGACGGAAACGTAGCAAACGAGATTATGTTATTTTCTTCCTTAATTTTATACCTATGTTGAAATACGTGGTGCGTTGATTGTTACTCAAATAATTTATAAATATTAAAAATAATTTGCGACAAAATTTGGAAGAAAAATCTATTTATGATTTCACGTGCTCGAAATTAATGACCGAATCTTAATCTTTATTTTAACAAACAAGTTTTAATGAAATCTTTTTTATTTAGAGTGATCCCCAAAATATTTCTTTGAAGTATGGATGAAAAAGGTTTGCGAACAATTTATAAATATAATATATATTAAAATATATATTTTAATGATATAAAAAAAAATATAACAATTAAATCTTTATCTAACAATCTCAATTATTGTAATAATGTATATAAACATAAATCACCTCGTTTGTTGTATTTAGCAGGTTGTCGCGAAATTATCATGATAATTATTGCAGTATTTGTTTAAATCTATGTATTAAATTGTTTTGCAAAGTGTTGACATGGGTATAATTACCAAGTTTAACAACAATCTTGATTCAATTCAATGCGTGGGTATTGTGTAGTACGTTGCGTGAACCGTGCGTATACTTTTTAAGCCTTTGTGATGGATAAAGGATAGTTTGTAATATAAATATAAACAAAGTGTGTACACGAAGGAACAGCATATCCAGTATAAGCTCTTGAGCGTGATATGTACAGCCGCTTACACGATTATATACTCAAAATTACATAGCCAAAGAAACATTTAATGGCCTTATACATCGTTATGAATCCCATATTGTAAAGTTCGCACTTGGTGCAACTAAAGTTATATCGGCGACTTCGAATCTCTCAGGGTTCTATTGCAAAATAAAAATCAATAACGAGACCGCCCTTTGCCTCCACGTGCGACGTATACAATCTTATATATAATTAAATAACCAACATATTTGAGAAAAGCGAAAAAATTTTTTCTTTCTCGTAAAACAGTTGTCGTTCCAGATTTATACGAGGAATTATTAAAATTTAGATATACACACAAGATGTAACATAATCTTTGTAAATCTTGTTTAATAATATGCTGATATGTTAATTTTACTCGATTAAATTTCTTTCGTTTCTCTTGACTTGTTTTGTTTATGCTAAGCAACAAAGTGAATTAATTTGAAGTGTGATGACAAATAAGAATCTTTTTGCTACTTGCGCTTCTAAAGGCACAACGCAGCGATTGCTTCCATATGCCGCGCTTTAATATTTAATTCCGTAGGCCGATTCACCAGCCTACCAGGTGACTCGGAATTTATGAGAACGCCGTTCCTGCATTATTTATGAGGGAAAAAAATCGAGTCGAATGGGCGAACGTGGAAGCAATATTGAATTTGGGTACGAGAACTACGAAGTAATCGTAGTCTTTTTTCTCGCGAAAAAAACGCTGGCGAATTCTTTAAACTCTCCTTCAGACGCGTACTAAAGATTATAAAAGAAACATGAACAATGATTAAACCTCATTAGATTAATGATGAATAAAATTTTGACACCGAGTTAATATCTCAAACTGAAAATCTTTTTTATCACATTTTAGATTACGAAATATTCAAGATATCTTTTTTATTTAGATAAAACTAATCATAGTTTTATTTTGGTTATAGGTGTCCAGTAACGAATACTTCAGTGTCAGTTTCGAGGTGGGCGACGACATCGCCGCACCTTCCTTCGAACGCGAGGAGTTTCTGCCAGCTACGAGGGGAACTTACCTGGTGTGAGTGAAGCATTATCATATAATACATTTAATATTCGGCCAGTCTGTTTCACCAATAAATTTCTCGCGTTTTATATCGAATAAAAATACGACGTACGCTATTTATAAATGTGTGCATCTAAACAATACTGCGTTTAAAGACTGACTCCATGCACATAATTGCTATTTTACATCATATATGACTTATGAAAGTTTTTATTGCAATGAAACGCGAAAAATGTACACTATCTCCGCGTTTGTAACATCGTTATTTTGTTATCCTATATTCGTTATCCTACATTCCATAGTCGATCTAGGCGGATAAGATCGGTTTCATAATATTCGCTCTGGTATCGATATTTTCCACATATGTATTGTAGCAAAATAAAAATTTTTTTTGTTGTGCATAATTGTAATTATAGTTGTTTAATAATAATTGATAATGATTATTAAAATTATTTTATTTCTTCTCTATTTTTCGATTAAATACAAGAATACATAATTTTAACTCTATTATATCTCTGTCGAAAAATGCGGGACTGATTGCATTATTCTTTAATTACACAGTGAATTTAAAATTTACTTTCACACACACGTCACACAAACACATACATACAATTTTTTCTGATGTGTATTATTTTCTTTAAAAAAATATATTTTTAACTGAATATCAGAAATTAGCTTCAAATATATAATGCTTAGCATTAGAAAACATCCTATTAAAGCAAGTATAGAAATATACCGACACGTACACCGCGTCATATATAATTTCCTTTAAATTTATTCGCGAGGCAATCTTTTTTCCTTTTTTATCAATCTTTGAGATGATTCGGCAATCCATTCAATAATCGGTTAGAGAAAGGAGCAGGGGGGAAGGCGGAAGCAGCACTTCTATTTTTGAGATCGCCGGGAGGTCAGCCCTTTTCTACGGTGCCATAGTTGTCCGCGCTCTACAGGGTGTACTGATATATCGCGATAGCTTCGATGCGGGATTTGCGAGCGAGAATAAATAGACAAAGACCGGCGCCGTTAAAACGTTTGTTATAACATAAATATAATAAACTCGTATTACGGCAGAAAGGAAATAAATTGTGCGTCGCGTATTAAAAGATTCTTGTCTCATAATCAAGAATGAATTTAATTTATCTTGATGCGTTTAATTGAGAGAGATAGAGAGAGAGAAAGATCTTTGTCGCATTTGTTTTAATCATCGTGAAGATGTGTCATCATTAAACGCGATGCGTTGATCTGCGAGGAGTTTTTTACAAGCTTTCAGAGAAAAAAGAGGACGATTATTGATACGAACCCGATTTTACTGAGACTACTAGCCTATTCGCTAAAAAAAAGTTTTTTAATAAGGAAAGAGAGAGAGAGAGAGAGAGAGAGAGAGTGTGCCATTTTACAGTGTGTATATATATCGCGATAACATAGATCTATCCATAGTTAACATTTCAGAAGCACTTCAAACTTTTTAGCAATTTTTCGAGCGTGAGTAATGAATTAGCGAGTAAAATTTTCCGACGGAAAAATCTCCATCATAGAAAACTGTGCTCATTTAAACAACCATTTAGCGTTCACTAATCAAATTAAGACTTTAATACTCGAAGAATTATTAAGAGAATTGAATATTTATAAAAAACTTGAGAATTTTTAAATGATAATAAGCGCAGAACTTTTTTTCTTTTTAAAAAGTTGCTTATTAAAATTTAAATATATGAAAATTGAATTTATAAAATGAATATATAAAATGCTAAAAAGATGGTAGTGGAAAATAATTACAAGTATAAAAAATTGTCAAAAATTTCTTTCTTACATGGAAACGAGATAAAAAAAATTATGTATAATAATTAGAGAGCAATTTTTATATATTTATTATTAATAATTATATTAAATATGAAAAATGTATGTAATTGTAATTATATTAAATATGAAAAAAGTCACTCTCTAATTATTATATATAATTTTTTTATCTCGTTTCTATGTGAGAGAGAAATTTTTAACGATTTTCTTTTTTATCATGATTTTATCCTTTTCTTTTCGGCTTTTTTTGTTTATTTTTTTTCCCCCATGATGTGCTACACTTGTAATAATTCTGCATTATTATTTTTATTTCCAATAAACTTTGCTAGCGTACCTTGAATTAATTCGTACAGTTATTCAACGTGACAAAGAATATTAAAAAATCAACATGATATATCACGAGAGACAATACTATTATACTACTAAATCGCTGCAGTGCAAGTGTGCGCGAGAACGCCTTACATCTTCAACGAGATTACTCTTAATTACCGAGCATTATTATGCGGCAAACCGACAATTGAACAAAGCGCACTTTACTTTTGTCGCGTCGGTTTTCTGACAAAAAAATTTCCATTTTACGAACCCTGGAATCACGATCACATGATACGCGGTTTGCATGAAAAAAAAAAAAAACGCCGTTTTCTATCAACGCGAAATCTTTCTTGTCTTGAATTACTCGGATCGTTTTTACACCGCTCGTAATGATCTCACCAAGCTACATCTTGCATTATAATTAAGACGCATTACTGTTAATTGTACGAGTTTGTTACACAAAAAAAAAAATTATTGCGTGGTTCCAAAGACTTAATCTTGCTTTCAATATATACGGTGTTTCGGAAAATCAATGAAATATTCTTACAGATTTTCTGCTCTATATTCTTACTCAAATTTGTTTTGTTATAATTTAGATACTTTAATTAATTTAAAAGCGGGTTATTTAGGTACATTAAATACATATTAATTATTTAATTTAAGGTAAAAAGTAATCGAATATATTCGCGAAACGTGAATCATGTAAAAATCCTTTTTTTCGTTTTCGAAGTATCTCTGACAGTCGAGCCTCAAATAATGTATAACGGCGAATATCGTTGCGTCATTCTCTTTGAAATGGCACACCGCAATTTAGAACGTGCGCATATACACATATACATGAATACCAATACTCATCTGGGACGCTGTCGCATTAGCCAGTGATTTATAGCGATTTAATGCGGCCAGATATATGTTCAATAAACGATCGGGCGCAAAGAGAGGACAGTCCTGTTCGAGCAATGTGTATCGCAACAGCAAAAGGAGAAAATATCGATTGATAAACGAGGAAAATCGAATGACTCTTAGCATTGCGAAGATGCATTCACTGTGTATAGAAGGATAAAAAAATCGACGGATATTACTAATAAAGTACGAACGAGTACGTTCATTAAAAACAATTAGAAACAATTCTCAATAGCGGTTGCTTTCAATTAAATAATCCTCATTATTTATTTTTCAATAAACAATTATTCGAAAAATTAGCGTTAAAATTAACACATTGCAATGATTATGTACAATATAACAAATCTATGATTTATTATTGTAATGACTAATTGACGAGAAAAATATTCAATATCGATTTTTTGACGTTATAAAATTTTCTACCAAATTCATATTACATTTTATTCGGTGAAAAAAGTACTCGAGTGTCGAAATGTTTTAAAGTTTAAAAAAACGATATTCACGTGGATATATTCAAGTGCCATTCTATCCGGGTGAAACAAAAACTGCAGAGCCTATACAATGTGAAATAAAAAACATTATGCCGGATGAAATTGGACCGCTAAACGCTATTCGTTACTTTGATTTTTAAATACTTTGAACGAGCCACACGTGCGTAGATTTTTGATTTTGTGACATTGCGTCATTGGAGAGAGATTCGGTTTACTTTTTTCTTCACTCGGATCGCGACACGTTTTAATTATAACACGAATTTTTTATTTAATCCTGAATCAGCGGTCGCATGGATGATATATGGTTAATTTAATATCTTGCTATACCGGTGAAATTTATAACTTGTGAGAGCGATCTCCAAAGAACAAATATTAGAACTTTATGCTCGATAAATTAAATAGATATAAGCATGTATTTATGAGAAATTTATATTCTAATTATAATTGATGTCAAATAATGGAGACGGTGTAAAATGTAGTAAAGAAGGATGAATAATTGGAAATAGAATAGAACGCACGCGTATGGATGAGAATAATTTATTTATTTCTCATCCGAATTCCGTTGACGGAATTTCTGCTCCGTCACAATTTGTAGTGTTACGCTTCGAGGGAGAATACCTTATTTCATTTAGACACTCCTCTTTCTGCTTTCGAAATAGACTACTAGAAAAACCAGCATAATATCCGAGAAACTAGGAGGTAAATTTTATACTATAACTGATAATATAAAATTGCACTGTATTGCATTTTTCTTATACATTATTTTATCAACGTAAATCGTAGGGAATGAGCTTATTTTTTGATAAATTAATAGACATAAAGTACTTATGATTCGGCATTAGTTTATATCATTACTATCATACATATTAATCGCGATTATTACTTATTATTTATTAGTATTATAATACGATATATGTATATTATAACAAAATAATTTATATTGTTATAATAAATTTAAATTCTATATAAATTCCGCACACATACACACCCACAATTGAACTTTTAACTTTCAATTTGTTATCGGATTTCAAATTAAATTTTCGTGCGAATTAACAATTATAAACATAAGTCAAATTACATAAACGGTTTACCGAATTTAATTTGTTTAGATCGTCTCTCTTACATAATTATCTATTCATAAAAATCTCCTTAGTAATTATATATGACTAGTTAGGACATATTCAGCAAAATAAAAATAGTAAGATTTCGGTGATTTACATCATTATGAAGAACACATAGTAATTCTGCAATAATTTGGCAATGTTTCGTAAAGGGAAATGGAAGGGAAATTAGGGATGTCAAGTTTTATCCTTGAAGACGAGGATGCGCGTAATAGTTTCTGATTCTGCGATTAGGCAACAACATCTGCTTGGTTTATTATTTCCTTTGGTCAGTTCCTAGGTTTGTGGAAAGTATTAGCATTAATGTACGATGCGATTCGTGTGTTGTATTAACGTGATTTGTCGTTTTTGTAATTTATTAATTCAAGTCCTCGATATTTCTGCTTTAATTTTATTTCGACATTTTGTAAAATAAATATTAAAAGTGTTTTGTTTGGCAGCTTTTCATCATGGAAAATGTAAACTATGCCATGAAATTGCGACTTTGCTCGATATAAAAACATTGTATGGATGCTATTAAAAAGTATGAACATGCAAATTTCGGTTTAAATAATATCCCAAATCGGCCAAAAATTTTTAGTTGATTAGCGGTAAAAAATAAAATTTATTTTTACATGGTGTAGGACAAGATCCTCGCATTATTGCGATTATTTACGAATTATCTCACGGTCTTTATATAGTATTCCTGGCAAATCAGTTTTTTGAAAAATATTAATAGTTTGAAACTTTTAATTAATTTATCGATTTATAACACACAAGCGTTAATAGTTTACCTCGTTATATTACGTGTTACAGGGATGTACTGAATCCGGTCTGTGAGCGTCGCGGCATCGATTTATCGCGCGTCGAAGTTCTGGATAGCTCATCGACGCCGTTATCTCTGCTGACAACGGACGCTTCTACACTTGGTGGAAAGCATCTACGAGTAACTTGTAAGTTTGCATTATTCTGTTACATTTGAATTTAAATAGGATTTGCTTAAATATCAGATTGCGTGGTGTGTGAGCGTGTATCTGTGTATGTGTATATATGTGAATATATTCTTTGATCTCGTTTTTTTCTTTATTTCTTTTTTTTATCCCGTTATTAACAGTACATGGTAATAAGTATCAAATATCGGAGGAGGAGCGAGAATTCAATAGATTTACACATTTAATTATCTAGCGTTAACGTAAGGCTTCGCAATAGACGTCATGACAGACGTACGTACAGAGAACAATGACCCGATGACCGAATTTTGCTACAGAAAGTAATTAATGCGATAAGTGATATACTCGAAAATATAAATACAAATAACGATTGTCGCGTCAGAAACTGTTTGTTATTAATTTACACACGTCCTTATAAAAGATATCGCTTGCAATGAAGACTTGGCTCTCTAGCTTTGGCTATTATAATCAATTAATTATTAATGAAGCGTCGGAATGCTCTGACTCATTTGCGGCTGATACATCGAACATAATTAATTGTTCTACACGCAATGATATGGATCGGTTAATTCCCCAAGTTGATTAATCTAGCCGCACGAACACAATTCAAAACTGAGTGACATAAATCGCGAAGGGATTACATGCGAATTGACGAAAATCTTTCTGTATTTTATTCTTCCATATTTTCAACAAAAATCAATCCTAACGATTGTCATAAATCGTCTAAGTTTGTGTCATATAATGGAGTTTATAATATATTTATTGCAAGGCAAATATTTAATTCAATTTTTTCGAAGATTTTCTTTATTCTTTTCGTTGATAATATTTTAGTAAATAGTCTCTCTCTCTCTCTCTCTCTTTGTATATATATTGGATTTCTCTTTATTATTTATAATTCTTTTAAGTTTTCAATTCCTTATAAGTCTTTTTTAGAGACATTTCGAAAAAAAAGTATTTTATAGAAAATTTCTGCGTAAAATATTAAAACTGTAGATTTCGCTGTGCACATTTAAATACTGGAAAATACAGTGTAATATATTGCACGTTTAGTTCACTTACAATTAGCAGCTATACAAATCGGTTTAAACACAAAGTTAATCGATTAAGTGCTCCGTATAATTCAGCACTTCTAAATTTGTTAAATGATCATAGATCACGCACAGACCATTTTCTCGCTTCTCTCGATTAATTTAATTGTTTTCCGGCGACTTGAGACAACAAAGGTATCTTGCGATGACAGGCGAGGGTTTCAAAGAATCGTTAATAGATAATGAAGAACGAACGAGTAATTAAGCTCAGCCCCATTTCAGTATAGTCAAATAGGGTTAGTGAAAGCCTGAAAGGTATTTACCAAGAAGATTTTCTTCTCTCACACACGTATATACGTATGTTTTCTCTTTTAATTATTTTTTACAAAATAGTTTACAAAAACCATGCGTAATTCCACAATCTAATCTTTAATACAATTTTTAATTAACAAAGTCCGTAAATAATCACAACAAAATTTTAAACAAATTTTTAGCTACGCATTACATCATATTGCGCGATTCTAGTGTATTATACGAAGATCTTACTTCACATTATCGCGTGTAATTATAAACTCTCCCGCCGTTCAATATATAAAAACAATTACTAAATATTTTGATCGTTACAATTATTCTTATTATAAATAACGTTAAGCAAGCAAGCAAGCTATCTTCATTGCAATCTTTGTTAATTGCGTCTAGTAACAACGCATTAATTTATTTTTCGAAACTCCTTCGTACAATCTCATTGCGGGTTAGATGCAACTGCTTCACAAAGAAAAGAAAAAAAAGAGAAAAGAAAAGGATAAGATTCGCCCGTGTGCTCTGCTGGGAGTTTAAACTGGGCATTTATATCTGTTTGAACATACATGTGGATAAACCGCGAATCTCGAGAGCTTGCAACTTCATCCGTCTAGAATGTTTGAAGCATGTGTGCAGCGAAAATATGTGTACACAACATATCTCGATAATTTATTAGTGTGATAAATCCATCGTTGCAACTTTTTCGAGCGAAACAGAATTTTTTAGCGAAGGGGAGAGAGAGAAAGAAAGAGCAGCAAAATAATCTCGCGACAATGTCTACATAATCCTATCGAGGCGAAAAAGGAAAGAAGGCAGTAAGAGGGCTAAACGCGCGACTCGACGCTCTCACAGAAAATTTTCTCAGTTACTTAACGCCGCTATTTCGTTTCCATCGTGATTTCCCCGGTGTATTTGACCCTAAGAGGCATGTACATCGCTGAGAGAGGTCGCAGATTTCGACGAGCGATTTCGAGCGAGCGGGCGAGTTCCCGATGAAAGTCTCAACATGAAACGGGTACGAATAACATGTACTATGCGACTCATACTGAAATAACATTTTACTTGCTATACGCTTATTTGAGAATTAGCAAGCTTATATTTTTAAGAAGCAATTTAAAAAAAGAACTAATGCGTAAAAAATTCTGCAGACATAATTTCTATTATTATGATAATACATTTTAAATATAATAATTATATATGTATTGTTAATTCTAATAATATAATTTTTATAACCGCGCGCAAAGCTATTCTACATTGAATCACACTCGTGCGACAAAAATAAGCTCAGATCGAAATACGTATGCGAGCAATACAAGCAAGTGTAATTTCAGCGCGACGATGATACGAAGCGAACGTGTCGGAAAAATGTTCAATTTCCTCAACGTCGGACTCGAGCAAAACGTAATCAGGATATATTCACCCATGATCGACAGATCGCCAATAATATTCTTTGAGAGAGCCGAGCTAAAAGTCTCCAGGTTTCTTTTGTAATCGTATGTCGGACGGAGAAGAAAAAGATGCGAGATATTATTCGAAAGCGAAAAAACTACATCATATGGTGCAAAATTAATAAGTCGATAAAAAAGTAGACATGTTTCCCCGAAAAAAAAGGATATACCCGAATACAACAGCGGCTCGGTTTTTTCGCAAAAACATTACAACAGAAATTACGCGACGAATCGCTATTATATTATTTTCTGAATCTCTGTTTCCAAAAATTACAATTGCAATAAATTGATATAATATTATATATAATATATTATAATGATTCTTTGATGTTTATAATACGTCTAATAAAGTATATCTTATTGAAACAATATATATTTTAATCTTTCCGTAATACTTCAGTAGTAATATCTGACATTAGTCGGACATTGGTAATTATAATTTGCTGCTCGTTATGAACTTAAAAGATAAATATCAGCAATAATGACGCAATGCTTCGTAAACTATAATTAACAATATCGCAAAACACGATCTAAATAAAAATATTTATTGATATTTTTTACGCACCTAGCAATCTTAAAAATCATTAACTTCTGAAAAAGTTACCGTGACGATTCTCGTCCGCGTGCAGGTTGGAAATATCAAAATTTATCACCCTACTTATCAAAAAATGAAGCAGCACGTAGAAAACTGACTTCCGTTCGCATCGAACGGAAACGAAAATGCAATACGTGTCTTTAATGGCAAATGGGTAACGATTTTCTTTCGATCGCCCTCTTTGTCGAGACCGATTGAAAAGCTGTCACATCGCAACGAAATTAAACCAAAACTAGTTGCAGGACCCTTGCACGCTCAAGAAACCGCGATAGGAATAACTGGTCACTATCTGGATCCAGATGTCGATACGGACGAGCATGCTGGAACCAATATAGAAACGATGCAACTACGAGTGATTAAAATTCGAAACTATCTAAATCCGTAACAAGGCGATTGCGACGTTATACGTAACAGATTGTAATTAAAGCATCATATCTATATTATACTACGAACATGTGTGTATATAAATGTCGCAAAATTATATGTAATTATGGATTCTAAAATATATAATGTATTCTGTAATAAATTTCTAGCTTCGTAAAATTTTATACGATACATATGTATGTATATATATTTATTTTTTTTTTTTTTTTATAAAATAATTATTAATTGCAAAAATATAAGTAAACAGGATGTGTATCTTGTATATTATTTAAAAAATTCAAAATATTAAATTATATAATTTAAATATATAATTTAACGAAATTTGACGAAATTTATACACGTACGTAACATAATATAGATATAGTGCTTTAATTACTAACAAATAAATTTTATGATCACAGTGATACAAACGAGAAGACGATAATGTGAAAAATAAGTCAAAATTTAGAACTTTTCTTTTCAAAATAAATTCTTTTCTCTCTGTAAAACTTTAATATACTTTTAAATAAAAAAGAGATAGATTCGATCCATTTTACATTTTTTTTTTTTTTCACAAAGCGATGATAAAGTTTTAATAGGGTCAATAGACGAGCATAAGTGATCCAGTTATCCCTAGATAATGGTGAAGTTAACGCTAACAGCGACCCTTATAATGCGTTTGATCCTTTGATCCTTTTGCGCCCGGTAAAGGTAAAGTTGAGTCGCGAACTATTGGCATGTCAGCTATAGAAAAGCTTTCAAAATTGGGGTGCCCCAGGCATTCGTACGATTTAAACGGCCCTTTCGATTTTCTCGCGCATTACAGAGATATTGTGCGATCAGTAACAAAGCCGTTCAATTCGCAATCCTCAACCAAGATACTTTTTTCATCGTTTAAATATGCAACGAATTCGCTTCGTACATGCTGAAAGTGACGTTTGCAGCGTCAACAAATAATATTGCGACTAATTGGGTCTTCTCGCATATTTTGCGAGCGGAAAAATTGCGCAATGTGTCGCGGAATGTGGCATTTGTTTAAAATAAAGATTTGTTTTTTAAGCGGATCTAATCTCTCGTTAATATATTACAAAGTCCATTACAATTTGCATTATAAAATTTTAATATCAATTTACAATCCTAAGAAATCAACAATCCTAGAAATTATTATTAAAATAGAAATTACTTTATTGGAGAATATAATTATAAGAAAAATATTGATTAATTGAGAAATATTAGATACATAACACAGAGATACGTAATATAGTAACCAAGTAACCCTTGTTTTCTCATTTCAGTTAAGGATGAAAGATTGAATTCTCGAACGTCGAGTCAAAGAGGAAACCAGAATGTGCCATTGCGGAAAACCAGTGGAGTAAGTAACTCACTTCCGCCAAAGTAATACTTTAAATTGATTCTCACGACAACACATGCGTATAGGCGATAAATTTCCTAGCTTAACTTTCTCACAAATAAAAGTTTAATTAACTCGACTTTGTCGCGAAGAAATCCCTTTAAGATTATAGAGAAGCTTACATATATAACTCTTGCAAGACTATGTTACATATAACGCGATTACATCACATTAACGCGAAAGACAATCTACACCTCGAGATATAGTTTGCAGAAAGTATATCGAAATGTATCATCATTCGTCAAATGCAAACACTCCTTTGTCTCGCAAACATTTTCTTTTAGCGGCGCGCTCTACGAAGATGAAGAAGCGCTTTAGCATCTGTGAACAATAATGCTGTAGCCCTTTTCCCACCTTGAGCCTTGACCCATTGATACGGGAACAACAATACAGTCGGGCTGACAAAGACAAATCGCAAAACGATTCGCCAGGCGCGAACAAAGACCGCGTTGAACGAGGCGCGACGGCGCATCATCGATTAACACTGTCGATATCAGGAACGAGATTCTCTCGCGGTAAATTTTCCAGGGTGGAGTTCCGAATAGGTGAACCCTCCGATTTTTTTGAAACTACCAAAGAGGACTAAGCAAAATTTGCATACGAGAATATTGTTCATCAAATATAATTTGAAAAAAATTGAATATAAATAGCTACTATTTTTATTAATTTTCATTATTTATATTATCTCCGCATTATTTTTTAATTAAAAAAAGTGCAAATACAATCGAAAATTTTCTTTTATTCTTACTGTTTATGATATAAAATTGTTATAATCGGATATAAATAAATGGACAGCGCTAATTTTCCGACATGATATTATCTCTAATCGATATTATTCCAGTATTATACAACTACAACCGAATTCTAGTGTCTTGGTAATTATTGTCTTTGTACGTGTGCTGAATGTTACGCTATTGTCCGAACAACAATTACGTCAGCATTCCAACTTGATTCACGCGACGCAGCTGCCTCATCCGTGCCGGATACAACCGGATGAATCCACTTGGTCAGCAATGTAATCTCTCGTGTTTCCGTCGATTCAGCATAGCTCAATCCAGACGCAAATAAAACCAACAAGTTTTAATCCTGACAAGTGTCAAAAATAAAGCTGGTTCCAAGCGTCAGTAGAACAAGCGCATATTTGATCCGACACACCTTTAACGATCCATTTTTCGACTTTCGTTTTCCATAATGACATTATTGCGATTAAATTCATATTTGTAATAATAGCAGTTTTATCAAAATTAAACTACGCGAAAAATTGTGATCAAATGATCAATAAAATTTTGTGAATTAATTATTAAAATTTTGTTAATATACTAAAGATATGAAAATATCAATTTCGAAGCATCTTATATATATCTTATTATTAAATTTACTCAATATTTCTTTTTTGGGTCGAAAATATTTTTTAGATTTTTTCGCAGCATACGTCACAGTAGTCGACACGTCGATTGTTACTGCTCGGAAAATTCACGCGAAGGGTGCGCTTTACACATCGTCATTGTATTTTCGGCGTGACGGATAGCGCATTAAAGACACGATAGATTGCAATAAAGATCCGCTATCGCTGTTATTACGGTACACTTTATAGATGAAATCAGCCCGCGTTCGACGTCACGTGAAACGAGTAGGCAGAGCGTTGATTACGCTACATTAACGCATATACATCGAAACACATTTAGACTAGGGAGAAAGACTTTTATCGTCATGTAATAAATTTACTATGATATTTCGCTTGTCTTTATCGTCCTTGGAATGTCGCGAGAGAATTTTAATTCTTGTAGAAATTAATAAAACATTGCGATTTTGCGTAATCGAGCAAGAAATTTGGCTTGTTTTAAGTTATCACCTTAAAAACGGATACAAAATATCTTTGAAATAAAATCAAAATTACTTACATTATTTATCGAATATTCAAAAACAAAAAAGTAACGTGCAATAATCAATCGAATACTATTCTTTATTTGCATTAGAGGAAAATTTCTAATCTCTAGATTGAATAATAACATTTTATTTTATAGTACAATTCTCTCTTCTTATAAAATTTAGAAAGGATAAGTAAAATTGTGTCAAGTGTGAAATCGATGAATAATCGTATTGATGTGTATGAATGTATGAATTTTCATAAATATATTTATGCACGATGTAATGTATGGAAACGTAACGAGGGCGATTTGTCGCAATGCATAGCGAAAGGATAACGTTAATAAAATGTTGGGAAAGCTTCTCTTAACACGATTGGACGCGATACATTATTCATGGCGTTACTAACATATCACACACTCGATAACGGATTACAGGGCACAATAACTGAACGAGCAATTTCTAGAATGTTGCCTTCATTTCAAGAAGCTTTCGACTTGATGGCACGGCATAATCGCTTGACAAGTGAGCGACTTTGAAGATGTTAATAATTTGCCTGATAAGCAATCATTTATTCAAATTATTTCACGCCAGGCATTTCGTGCTCTCTCTCTCTCTCTCTCTCTCTCTCTTTATGAGTAACGCAATATTAATATTCGCAAAAATATCGAAGAGAAATATATCCCTATTATATATAAAGAAATCATTAATAAATATAAAGAGCAAAAATATTTTTATTTTTTTCCAATGCTGCATCAAATCTCTCAATTCTAGATTTGCTAATTAGACATAAATTTTTGGTCGACAGAATTATCGAGGTCGAAGCGGTCGTTTCTTCAGCGTTTCCACCGAAGATACGAACGTCGATTCCGAGGTTGGCGGTACCTGCACGA